TTGTTAAGTACATCTATGTTTATGATTTTAATGAATCATTTTGATGTTATTAAGTACATCTATGTTTTATGATTTTAGTGAATCATTGTGAATTCTGATGTTGTTAAGTACATCTATGCTATATTGTTCAAATACAACTTAGGAATGATCCTATAGATTCATTTAGAACATACACGTTAGGTGGCATGACCCACTTTTGTCGTTTTCGTATTTTAGATTTCAAGTTGATGACTTTAAGAATCTATATCTTGTTGCTTTGTATAGCATGTTCCTATGTTGTTTGGAATTGCATAAAGGATGTGATTTATGCTAGAAATGATCTCGGGTAGCTTAGGATGCTCCCTGAGTCTCATCTTGACATAGACGTTAGGTGGCATGAGCCCTTTAACATGTTTCACCTTAAGGTGATAAAATTGTAAAAAGTTAGGTTGATGCATGCTCATCTCCTACAAGTAGCTTTATGTTACTCACCTACGTAGTGGGGACATTTTTCAGGTTCAAGAATCAAGGTAGAGATCCTCATTGTGCTTGGATGGTTGTGGACTTGAAGATTTCCATTCTTGTAAAGGTTAGCTTGAATGCCATTTGTTGCTTTATATGTCAAAATGTGTATATTTGATTCCATATATGTAACGTGTACATGAGTACACTCTTTACAATGTAGTTGGTATGTATGAGATGAGGCCAGAGGCCAATGACATGTATTTTCTATACTATGTAATTTTTGACTTCATGGAATATTATGAAAATATTGAAGATTATTGAGTTTTTGTTTCACCATGGGTGCATCGGGTGTGGGACTTCCATTATCATTCTTTCATAGTGTTTTATTAATCATGTGTGAAGTGTGGCCAAGGGCCAAACGGTCATTTGAAGTCATTTGTTGATTTTGGTTTTCAAAGTTTCCATTTTAAGTTCATTTTTGCCTTTTTGGCCGTCGAGGGGTCGGATTTTGACTCGGCCATTTTCGTGAGCCGCGGACCATTCCTGCACACTCAAAATCATCATTTACGCTTGCGTGAATGATTGTTTCCATGAAAAACCCTTTCGTTTGTGTTTTGAGCCTCTTATGGACTCATTTCACCTTTTTGTTGAAAAACTCGGTCCAAGGGCATTTTGGGGATTTCCTTTGGGAAATAAATTCTGTTCTTGACTCCTTCATATAGAAAATGTGATTTTAGGGGGAGTTTCTTCATGACATTTTTCTGAAAAATGTCATCTTGATCTCGAAAACCGCGCTCCAAACTCATTTTTCTGCTAAAACACTATTTCTGCTGTTTAAGTTCAACCCTGGTCAGGTTGAACTAGTTCAAGAATAGTTGAACCGGTTTAAGGGTCATTTTTGGTTCAGCATTGGCATTTTGTCCATGTTGAACAGGTTCAAGTCTTCCAGAGTTTTCAGTTTTGGACTTCCAACTTCAAACTGATGTAACTTCCTCGTTTTAACTTCGAATTGGTCCGTTCTTAAGTCAAAATTGACCGCCTCGAAGTAAGATTTCCAATGGTACCAATTTTAGTTTCAAATTCTTCTCCTAACTCAAGATATACTTGTTTTAGTGAGAGTATGTCAGTTTTGGTTCGAACCAGGATAAGGTTCATTTGGGATTTCTTTTCCTTTGGCCTTGGGACTTCATGTGAAGATACCAAAGGATGTTTTTGGATGTTTTTGATCTCATTTGACTTGTTGGGATTCAAATTCCTTCCTCTTAGGGAAAAATGACCATTTTACCTTTGGTCCTTCTTTTGGTAGGGTTTTGATACCCTTGTCTTCATTTTGCTTCCGCTGAGTCTAGAAATTCCTTGAAGGGCCATTCTTGTGTCTTAGGGATGATGTACATCTCTAAGGACTTGGTTTCGTTTTGCTTCCACATTTTGGAGCCGCTTCGGGTCATCACAGGACACATTGGGTTAAAAAATCCATGGTCGTCACAACACATGTGAGGACTGAAGAAGCTTGGCTCAAAAAATGGTCCCCCGCAACAGCGTGCTCTGATCCTTCAAAGGATTGTCAAAACCACTTTTTTAATCATATTTGGGGGAACCAACCTGAAAGTAGACAAAAGCAAACAAATAAAGCTAAACTATACATTATTAGCAATTAATGGACTTAACTAATGCAAATAAGGGCACTTGAATATTCAATATTCGGTGCTTATCATACCCCCAAACTTACATTTTGCTAGTCCCATAGCAAAACCAAAATATAGAACCTAACAAAAATGATAACATATGAAATGCTGACAACATGCGCCAATCATGAAGTGCGAAAATACCTACAAACCTCAAATATAACCTGGAACAATAGAAAATTGGAGACAGACTCATTCAGCAGACTACCTTGCATATATGAGGCCTTAATAAACAAAGATGGCAAAACACATTTCAAATTTTATGTATCAATCATCATAGTCTATATAAACACTTCAATTGTCATTTCTAAAAGAATATTGAACTCTAACTTCAGTGAAAGTGAACCGGATTCCCAATATGCAGCTTTTACCCTCCTTTTCCAATCTCAGAAACATAAGCCTTTAAATCATTGAATTTCATTCTAAATGGGGTTTCTAAGGCATTACTTTATTTACAATACAACTTTTGTTGCTTGTTGAAAATTTATTCAATAGTTCAAAATGATACGTACTATGGTTGTGCAATGCCGAAGTCCCTTAAGCTTTCTAACCAACCCATGTAGCAAGTGTTAGGCCAACAACTCCTAAACCAGATGGCTTTAGGGTGCTAAGTGTAGAGACACTCCTAGGGCTTAATAACTTGAATTGGCAAGGCTAAGAACTTCAACGAACCATATTTATTTATTTATATCTTTTTGTGAATGACCGTGCAATGTCTAAGTCCCTTAAACTTTCTAACCAACCCATGTAGCAAGTGTTAGGCCAACAACTCCAAAACCGGATGGCTTTAAGGTCAATTGGGTTGCATACCTCACAATTAGGTTCCAGGTGTGCATCTGTGCAATGCGAAGCATAGAAGGGTTTGAACTCCAACGAAAATCTAATTGAAGCGTTTATACAAACCGATATGAATCAACCTGGTCATTTCAAATTTTTCTTTATTTTCAAAAATATCATTTTCCTCTATACACAAAGTCTTAAACATATGCTTCCATCTCCAATAAGTTCCATGATTACACTATCATTGCTTCCAACAAAATGATTTTATTAACTTACGTGCATCAAGATACGGTCATGCAAGCAAAAATGTTATCTAAAAAATGCAACAATTGCAATGCACCCCCAAACTTAAATGTCACATGGTCCTCAATGTGAGAAGACAGAGGATAAATAATAAAAAATGAAGAGTGCAACAAGAAAAATAGTACCAAGTTGAAGAGGAATTGAGTGGCGGTGCAAAAATAGGCGACTTCGTGAATTCCATGAGCATGCCCCCAAACTTGGTTGCAAAAACCTGTCAAAAGCATCTATACACAGCAAGTGTCATATAAATCCAAAATGAATGAAAATAACTACAATTTATTCAACTTAAAACTATAAGCCATGCAAAGTAGCAAAAGCGATGCAGTTATAAGTTCAAAAGAAGATGGAAAGCAATTGCCAAATGCGGACTAAAAGAAGTCTAAAAAGTACTACTGAAAAGGGAAATAAAACTAGAAGTATAAAATCACTCCATCATCGGAGTGGTGGAGGAACCGCCAAGTGCGCTAGGTGCACGGTCAATTAAAGTCTGAAGCATAGCCTGCAAAACCTACTGACTCTCCTGAGTTGCCTTAACGGTGCTCTCTATGCTTTCAAGGCGCATATGAAATGCATCAAGGCGAGCACTGAGATTAAAATAATGAGCTTGAGTCATAACAGGCGGTGGTGGCGCAACAGGGGCAGCCGGAGCAGCGGGGGCATCATTAACAGGGGAAGCAGGAGCCACAGGGGGAGCCGGCGCACCCCAATCCAACTCATCCCCAATTCAGGCCTAATGGGACGTCTTGAGCTGAATTGTGCTTGACTTCCAGACCCCAAGGCTGAAATCAACCATATCCTTCTTTTTCTCCTTATGACGTTGGGGCCGGAACCCTGCATTTTTTAGCAGCCGGGTGACAAGATATAGAAATGGAAATGCGCAAGCGATGACGCTGCTCAACCTGACCAAAATTAATTCATTGTAAATCTTGGGGATTTGGTCCCAGACAAGCTGCGGGATAGAAAACCAATGCTCCTTTTTAGTGGCATAGAGGGCTTTCAGAAAATCCCCCTTAGCTCAGAATGGCCTGGTACGGGAATGACGCTCTTGGCTAAGATTGAATCTAGAAACCACAGCCGGCATGGTAAGAATGACTTATTAGTGCTTGTGGTTCGAGTGCCGGTAAATTAACCGTGGCAAATCTCTCCTATGATGTCTGACAATAATAGCAGAGCCGAAGCTTCAACACAGAGGGGCAGGCCCGCATCTTCCACCGGTGATACCAGTGGGCAAGCTAAAGCCTCAGCAAGATCATCGAGGTTAAATTCAAAAGCCTTGCCCTCAATGGTGGTCTTGATGATGTCCGTTTTCGTATATGAATGAAACAAGTTTGCGTAGAACAGACGGACCATGCGCGGGTAGTAGGCATGAGCACTTGGCTTGAAAAGTGATGCAAGGCCACGTGCCCTCAATTCGCGACTGACTATGCCATTTCTTGATTTTGCTCAAAATCATTTTCAATGTTGAATTTTGCTTCGGGGATAATTGGCTATTCCGCCCAATTTGGAGTTGGAGGCACATTAGAAGGGCCCTCGGACGAGCGAGTATGCTTGGAGGCAACTTTGGGAGCCATTGGAGTGAGGAAATTTGGTTCAGGAATTTCTACGAACACATGGCGTGCACAAGAGTGGGGAAGAGGCGAAATGACGTTAAAGATGTGAAAATCCCAAAAATTTAACCTGAAAATCAACAATGCACAATCCTAGCAATCATATGTCCTCCCACACAAGTAATCCCATCCTTCTTTGATCAAAAATTGAAAGAAAACGAAGGTTAGAGACTTACCTACAATGGAGGAACCAAAAACCTTGTGCTTGATGATGGAGGGGCTTGAGGATGAGAAGGAGATAGAAAAGAAGGATGGGAAGAAGAATGAGAGAGATGGGAGAGGGAAAGATGAAATGAGGGTAGAAGATGCAGGAACGAGGTTGGGTTGCCAGTTGAGAGAGAGTTAGAGTGTTTATAAACATCAAATGGGCCTTTAAACCCATTTAAAAGGCACCAGCAACAGTCAGCGAGCGACCACAGTGGCGCGGCGGGCACCCGCAGAGGCTGAGGTCCTTACTACTATGAATGGCGGGTGCCGGCGGGCTTACGGTGGGCGCCCGCGGGATTACGGTAGGCGCCCGTAAGGCTACTTCAATTGCTACCTTGTGCAGCATATTGCAGCCTGCAAGGGTCAGGATGAAATTGAATGCAACCTAAACATGGATTGAAAGCGCTTGGAGATCCTAGTAAGCGTGTTGAATCGCCGGAATTGGATTAGAAGCTCAAGCTCACAAGTGACAGCCATGAGATCCAAATGTTATTTGAAATTTGGATAAGGTGGGACAAATGCCTAAATGACCTTAAATACTTCCAGAAGTGGTATAGAGACCTTTAAACGACAAAGAAAACCGAATGTGATCACGGAATGCAAGAGGAGACAATTCCAGAAGAGTGCACATTATGGTTAAACTTAACGAATTCAAAGAAAATTCATAGCAATTGGCACACTGAAGAGGGAAGCTCGGAAGATGAAAGAATTGTTTCCTATGAATGCTAAATTTTACATCGATAGCTAGACGAACCAAGATCGCGCATCAGTCCTAATAAATTAGGTCCGTTAATAGGACTTTCTTTACTTTGCGGATAGGGACTATGCCATCAACATAAGGCTTAAGCCATTGGTCATTAACCTTAGAGAGAGATCCATCAGTATGATCTTGGAGTTTGACTGCACCATAAGGAAAGACAGAAGTGATGATATATGGCCCATCCCACCGTGAACGGAGTTTACTAGGAAAGAGCTTCAAGCGAGAGTTTGGAGTTGGCAGCAGTGGTGTTTGCTCTGAAGTGTTTGAGACACTACTTGTATGGTGAGAGATTCGAGGTGTACTCGGATCATAAAAGTCTCAAGTACCTGTTCTCCCAAAAGGACTTGAACAACAGACAGAGACAATGGGTCGAATACTTGGAAGATTACAACTTTGATTTGGAGTATCATCCGGGTAAGGCAAATGTTGTAGCTGATGCCTTAAGCCAAAAATCTCGTGGCACTTTGGCCGGTTTGGCTATCCGGAAGTGGAAGATGCTTGAAAGTTTAGCAGAGATGGGATTGCAATGTTTTGACGATGATGGTGATAGTGAACCAACCTTCTTGTTTAGTCTTATGGCTCAGCCTACTCTTGTCGGACGAGTGATTGAGTCACAGAGACAGGATTCGGATTTGGATGCAATTTACACTTTACTCTCTAGTGGTGAGACAGTGCAAGATTGGACCTTGCATGTAGATGGGGGTCTACGGTTTAGAGATTTGTTGGTTATCCCCACGGTTTGTCGTGAGGAAGTTCTTTGAGAGTTTCACACTTCCCTCTTTGCAGTTCATCCAGGTGGTACAAAAATGTATCACAATTTGAGACGTCAGTATTAGTGGAACGGGATGAAGAAGGATGTTGCACAGTTTGTGGTAAAGTGCCTTACCTATCAACTGGTGAAGGCCGAGCATCAGAGACCAGCAGGGTTATTGCAACCATCGCCTGTAGCGCAGTGGAAATGTGAGTATATCGCAATGGATTTCATGACAGGTCTTCCAAGGTCACGGAGAGGCAACGAGGCCGTATGGGTCATCATTGACAGATTGACCAAGACAGCTCACTTTTTGCCTATTAAGGTAACAGATGATACAAAGGCGCTTGGCGTTTTTTACGTGAAGGAGATTGTAAGGTAACATGGAGTTCTAGTAACCATTGTTTCGGACAAGGATGCTAAATTCACTTCGAAGTTCTGGGAAGGACTTCAAGCAGCGTTTGGCTCAGTGTTGCACCTGAGTACGGCATTCCATCCGCAGACGGACGGCTTGTAGGAGTGTACTATCCAGATCTTGGAGGATATGCTCTGGGCATGTGTGCTTGACTTGGGTGGCAGTTGGGAAGATCATCTACCACTCATTAAGTTTGCCTACAACAACAGTTATCAAGCGAGCATTGAGATGGCTCCATTTGAGGCGTTGTATGGCAGACTTTGTAGGTCTCTAGTTTATTGGACTAAGGTAGGCGAGACCGCTGCCTTAGGACCCGATATTGTACTCGAGACTACCGAGAAAATTAAATTGATCAGACAGAGGTTGCTCACAGCTTAGAGCCGACAGAAGAACTATGTAGATAAGCAGAGATGACCGTTAGCTTTTGAAGTAGGAGACCATGTTTTTCTACGGGTTTCCCCACGAAAAGGTTGATGAGATTTGGGAAAAGTGGCAAGTTGACACCATAATTTATAGGACTGTTTGAGATTTTGGACCGTATAGGAGAGGTTGCCTACAGGCTTGCTTTGCCACCACAGATAGACAGAGTCCACAACGTTTTTCATGTGTCGATGCTATAGAAGTATGAACCAGATCCATCTCACATTTTAGATTGGGTCGACGTGGACATTGATGAGGATGTCTCCTATGAAGAGGGACCAGTTCAAATCCTTGACGCACAGCAGAAGGTGTTAAGGGGTAAGACAATATCGCTAGTGAAGGTTCTTTGGAGACACTATGGAATCGAGGAGGCTACTTGGGAGCTAGAACAGTAGGTTCGCTCCAAGTACCCAGAGTTGTTCTCTTCCCCAGGTATGGCTTGATTTCGGAGACGAAATCCTTTTAAGTTGCGGAGATTGTAACATTTCCGATTTTCTGCATTTTTCTTTTTTCCGGAATTTTGTCGCCGCAAGGGCATTTTTGTCTTTTCACGTTTTGCGTATGGGATTGTGGTTGGGTCCAATTGCATTTTCTGTATTTTAATTTATATGATTATGTGGTGTTTGCTTAGTGGTGCATGTATTTTAATGTGTAGTGCAAATTGAAATGAAAAGGAAAAGGGAAAAGAAAAGAAATTGGTGGGACCCACCATTAACCATAAAGTGGTCTAGAGACCACATTTCTGCATTCTCATTCCTCTTTCCCATAGCTTTCTTCTCTCTCTCATTTCCATTTCTTTCTTCCTTCCATTTGAGAAGCAAACTTTGGATCTTGGTAACTTCTTCAATTCTTGGAGTTTTTAAGAGCCGTTTGAGGCAAAATAGAGAGTACGACAAGTTCTACACGTGAGTACCATCAATTTCAGCGTTGGTGCTTCCCTTGGATTTTGAAATTCTTGATCATTTTAAGGGTTTTGTGCAATCTTGAGGTAGGGGCTTCCTAATTCACATTATTCATGCACCTTTGTGAATTAATTTACTTGAATTGTGTTATAGCATGCTTATTTGTGTTAATTGTAGCCTAAAAATGTCTTGAATGTTTATATGTGAATATGTGAAGACTTGTTTTGATTGCACTATTTGAAAAACAAACTTATATTGTGAGTTATGCCTATTGTATTGTTCACATGCTATGAATGGTGTATGAAAACATGCCCTATTGTATTTTGTAATAATCCAATTATGGTTTAAATATTAGAAGCATGAGAACATGCTTACTTGTGCTATGTTAAATTCATCGTTTTCATAGTATTGAGATCATGAGACATGCATGTACACCATTGGGTTCCACGAAGGGGAGAAATTATTTTTAAAACGAAAATGGGCAGTTTTGGGAAAGAAAGTTTGATGAAAGTGTTTTGAAAAACCCGGTCGCCGCGGGGGTACCAAAGGGCCGGAGGTTAATATAGCCTAGAGGGGACTAGGGAGTCGCCCTAGCGTGGTTGAGCTAGTTGGGCCCCATAATGACACCGCGGGGGTACCAAAGGTTAGGGACACTAGCCAATCCTCCTCTTGTGTCGCTGCGGGCTCACCAAAGGGCAGACTGTATTAACAGTTTGAAAGCGATGATTGAATTGTGAAAATGGGGAGCGACATTGGCATACATTGCATCTCCATTGCATTTTAGTAATTGTGTTGAGATTGACAACCATGTTGTATTCTCCCCTATATTGTATGACCCCAACTCCTGTTCGCCTATTCTTTGTTTTGGATTCACGGGTCCTCATGAGTTGCGTCTTAGGCGTCACCTACTGAGCAAATTGCTCACCCCATTATATTATTATATTTTTCAGGTCATGGCAAGGGAATGGAGGATGAAAATCCTCCGTAAGCTTTAAAGTTGTTAGAAGATGATTTTTCGCTATTTTGTATTTGGCTATTTCATGTGTAATTGTAGTTTTGGGAATGTAAATAAGTTTGTATTCATGGCCATCGAGAAAATGTAATTAACTTTTATTACACTAAATCCTTTAGTGTATTTTGGTGATGTGTGGTGAATTATGTTAATAACGTGGTTGTTGTTATTGAATTTATTGTTGAAATGTATTTAAAATTACACATAAGTGTAGTGGCGTGGGTGTTTGAATTACCAAAGGTTGGTGGTTATGGGTTACACAGGACAGTGGGAAGTGGAAGTGAAGATTTCCTAGAACTGGTCGACGTATAGCTTCCCATACGTCGACCGGTATCTTCACAGTGTGGGTTAATGTTGCATACGTTCCAAACCAGTCGACGTATGGCATCCCATACATCGACCGGTATCATGTCCTAAACCAGTCGACGTATGGCTTCCCATATGTCGACCGGTATCCATTGTAACTCATGTTCCAAACCAGTCGACGTATGGCTTCCCATACGTCGACCGGTATCTCGGTAGTGGGCATTTGCACTGTTCATATCCCAAACTAGTCGACGTATGATGCATATACGTCGACCGGTTTATGTTACTTATGTAATATGTGTTTAATTTCCTAAATTGCATTTTTGCACCCAAGTGAGGTTTCACGTAAATATTTTTTTTTTGACACAATAAAATGCAATAATTATATTTTAACCCCCGAAAGGACTATATTGCCCCAAACCTTATTTTATTTACTATGTGATACAAGTTAATGACCGTTGTACGCTTAAGTTTCAATTTATCGAATTGTGGTATATTACCATTTTACCCTTTTCGGACTTTGATATTTAAATTTAATGTGAAAATACCGTTTTACCCTCGGATGATTTTGGTTCAGGTAAGGACCCATTTAATGATCCGGATCCATGAGGAGCTGGGTCGTTACAGGTTACCAGATTATTTTCCACCAAAGTGAATTTCTTGAGACATGACGCAAATCTGATGTACTCACTTCTTCTTCAGAATCAAAATACCATGTTTGAGAGAGTCATCACGGAGATACGAGATCTCAAGGCTAAGATGAGGATGATTAGGACACAACATGCAGGTGTTTCTACAGAGGATGTTTACAGACCTGCTCCTCTAGATCCATTTACAGGTGATGATGGTGATGATGGTACTGATGGGTGATGATGGTGCTGATGAAGATGATGATGATAATGACGAGGATGGTACTGATGATGGTGGTGATGATTTTGATAATGTGCTGGCCACTACTGTTCCTTTTGATGGAGATGATTGATCTGTCTATGTTTAATAACATTTTTCTTTCATTCATGCATCATGCATTATGTTTTTGTTAAGATAACATGGTCATTATTTTGAATATTCTTTTTGGCTATTATTGACTTTTCTTTTTAATAACTGGTTTTTCTCTTTTTCTTTATAATTACCACACTTTGTCAATTTGTTCCAAAAAGGGGGAGAAAATGGATAATTAATTCATGGGGACTTTATATAATATGTGTTTTATTAAACTTTCACTGGTAGTTTTGCTTTATAAATGTGCAGAAAATCAGGTGAACTTTTATCCAGAAAAGAGAAAAGAATAAGAAAAATTTTTCGTCTTATTAACAAGTTGTAATTTGCTTTTTCTACTTGGGTAGATTATATTTGTTTTTTGGGTTTTGTCACGAAATTGCCGGAGATTGTGAGATATATATTTTGTAATTGGCTAATTTGTTGTCAAAACAAGTCCAATCGAATTGTATTTTCAAGTTTTAAATTCAATATCAAGATCAGTTGCGGAATTGAAGAGTTGTTCATGTTTGATAAACTGAAATCTACGAAAAAGGTATGAACAATACTTTATGAGGTTGAGTTAAAGGTTAGGACACTTTACATACATGGTATGCTTTTCAGAGTATTTTATCCTTCCCATTCAAATCTGTCATTTGGGAACCGGTACCAACTTTTCTCTACCAGTTCAAGAACCATAGCTTCAAATCCTTGTTACTCTGAACACTCTGAACCGGTTCTAGAAGTGGCTACCAGTTCAAAAGGCTTCTACAAATTAGGTATCAGTTTCCTTTGTGTTTAAACTCCCTATTTGGCATGTATTTCTTTCCAAAAGACCTAGGCATGAAATTTACTTCTTTCCTATGCATGTCTAGGTTTTGAAAGTCTATATAAACCTTATTTTTCATCTAGGTTGATATGGCTTTAGCATAAAAACTTCTGATTCTTTAAAAGCCTATATGAGAGATATTTTACAGAAAATAAAATCTGATTTTTCTATTTTAATACTTTGAACACACACATAAACACAAGAGTGATTTTAGGATATTGTTCAATTCCTTATCGTGTTCAAAGTTTATTAAATATTGCATCAACAACGACTAGAGAAGTAGATCTATTTCTTTTACATCAAATTCAGATCTTGACAAAAATGGGTGAAGCGATCACACTTTGGAAGGGTCAAAACATTTGAGGAGTGTTGTTTGATCTACCAGCAACCCTTCTATAGAGATCAAGAGTAGGCCTGAAGTCAAGAGTTGTGAAGACCCTGGATTTTTCAACCCAGTGTGTCTTGTGATGAACCATAGTTTGACCCGATAATGGATCCGAAATGCGGAAGTGAAAATAGAAAACAAGACTCTAAGAAGTCCGTGGAACTTAATGAGAACTGGTGCGGAAGCAAAGATCGAAAATATGACAAATAAGCCCCTAAGGGCAAATAGTCATTTCTGAAAACTATGGACTCGGATGCTACCGAGCACACCGCTGGAAGGACAACGAAAAACTAATCAAATTAAACCCAAGAATCACTTGATTCGGAGTCCGGATGTACAAGATATGAAACTCCAAAGTTTCATAAAAATCACATTTTTGGGTTTGAAATCAATGCAACAAGGGTACTTCGCAAGGGGTAAAATGGTCTTTTTAGACAAAATTGGATGCAACTGAGCATACCATTAGATAGACCAGGAAAAATTAATGAATCTAGACTTAAGAATCACTTGATTCGGAGTCCGGACGAAGAACATATGAAACATCAAAGTTTCATAAAACCAACTTTTTGGTTTAAAATCAGTGTGGCAAGGGTACTTTATAAGGGGTAAAATGGTCTTTTTCAGATATAATTGGATACAACCGTGCATACTGTTGTATAGACTAGCAAAAACTAATAAACTTAGACTTAAAAATCACTTGATTTGGAGTCCTGATGATGAAGATATGAAGTCTCAAAGTTTCAAAAAATTAGACTTTCTGGGTTTCAAGTATGAGCAGGGCCGGCACACATTTTCCGAATTCAAATGGGATTTTGAGGGCTTAAATGACATTTTTTGGCAAAAAGTTGTGAAGAAACCCCCCCCCCCCCCCCCCCCCGGGCCCCCCCAAATAATGTTTTCTACATGACCATGATAAGAGGATTTTTTATTTTTCAAGTGAAATACCCGAAATGCCCCCTTAGATCAGGATTTTTTCCTGAAAAACCTAGAACGACCAGATTTTCCAGATCTGCGAGTTGTTTTTGGCATCAAGATGATTTTTTTTGTAAAAACACGAAGAAGAAACCCCCCCTAAAATCACGTTTTCTACCTGAAGTGCCCTAAAATCAGAACGGAATTTATTTTCCAAAGGAAAACCCCGAATGCCCCTAACAGTATGCTCATTTGCATGAAGTACCCAGAATGCCCCTAGATTAGGAATTTATTTTCCGAAGGAAAACCCCGAAGTGCCCTAAAATCAGATTATGCAATAAAACTTCAAAATGAGTCCATAGGAAGCTCAAAACACAAACGATGTGGTTTTCCCAAGAAACGACCATGTACGCAAACGTAACTTACCTATTTGGATGTGCTACAATGGTCCACGACTTAAAAATACCACCGATACAAAATCCGACCCCCCAACGGGCAAAAAGGAAAAAATGGAACTTAAAATGAAAACTCGGAATCCAAAAATACAAAACAGGGTCAAATGACTGTTTGGCCCTTGGCCACACTTCAAACATGATTTATAAGACCCTATGAAAGAATGAAAACGGAATTCCCACACCCGATGCAACCATGGTGAGAGAATGACTTGGCATTTTTCAATATTTTCATAATATTTCGTGAAGTTAAAAGTTACATATGATACAAATTAGATTTCACTGGCCTATGGCCTCATCTTATATATGTCAAATACATTGTAAAGAGTGTACTTATGTATACATTATAAAAATAGAATCAAATTTACACATTTTGACATATAAAACTATAAATGGCATTTCAAGCCAACATTTACATGAAATGAGAACTTCAAGTCTACAAATCATCCAAGCATGATCTGAATCCCAAATCTTGATCCCGGTACTTGAAAAATGTCCCAACTACGTCGGTAAGTAACATAAAGCTACTCGTAGGAGATGAGCATGCATCGACCTAGCATTTTACAATTATATCACCTTAAGGTGAATCATGCCAAAGGGGCTCATGCCACCTAACGTCTATATCAAAATGAGACTCAAGGAGCATCCTAAGCTACTCATGCAATTTAAAGTGAACAATGGCATACAAGTATACATGCTCAAGTATACTTAACAATGTTAAACATGTTATAAAACATACAAGCATACATTTCCAAGTATACTAAACCACATTAAGACAAGTCATGCAATGTCTAAGCATATTTACACAAGTATGCATTTTATATGAAAATCTCGTAAATCAAGTATACAAATACAAGTATACTAAGCTAAAAAAAGATACGCCTAAAACAAGTATACACAGCACAAGTATACTAAATGAAATCTAAACTCACAGAGCAAGCATACAAGTTCAAGTACACTATATGAGATCTAAATGCACAAAACAAGTATACAGTTTGAAGTATACTAAATAAGATTCAAATATCCAAAGCAAGCATTAATTCTCAAGCTACAAGTAATCCATGATTAAAAACTTGAAATTGAATGCGAAATCAAAGTAAAAAGATTAGGACTTGTGGTCACTAGACCAAGCAAGTGTTTCCGGGTAATTACGACCCACAAGGCACTACCTAGTGCGCACATGAATAAGTTATTCCGGTTAATTACGACCCACAAGGTATTACCTACTGCGCACTTATGACTTAGAAGACTCTTGTCTCCGTACTAGAGCCAAACCCTAGCCATCACGTGAAATATGTCCTTACAAGCTTTCCAAAATCAATAAGTCTAAACCATATACAAAAATCAATAAGTGAGACCAAACTTATACCAAATCCACTAATACATAAAGCCATCTTCCATGCACAAATAAGGTTGAATCTACACAAATCATGTCCTAGAATTCAAGTCTAGATAGCATATGACATGCCAAGCCTCCAATATGCAATTTATACACCAAAACAAGAATATTTTACAACAATTGAATCACATTACCATCCTAAGCCACAAGTACTAAATAAGCTTCAATTTAGTAACAAGCTTTCAAGGTAAACAATTATAATATTCTAACAATCTATATACCTACACAAGATACATTTAAATAAGCTTTACAAGTCAATGATGTTCTATATCATGCTAAGTCCAATTACCATTTTAAGAGGCCCTAAGTACTAATTCTACATCCAATTAGTAATATGCTCACAAGGTAATTAATTTCACTACATTAAAAGGGATTTTCAACCTAACATGAAAAGTCTCTAGATTTCATATTAATCCCAAAAAAACTCAAATTAATATATGTTAAAGGACATAGCATAGTCTTCACATATATTATACCCAAAATCAATTTAAGTGACTACAATACTTAAAAAAAAAAAAATTAATTAAGCTAATTAATTAATTTTCTCTACATTTTCAAACATATCTAAATGTCCTCAATTTAATATATGTTAAAGAACTCACCAAGGCCTACTTTAATACCACATTACAAGTTGATTCCATGCTTGATACAACTAGGTGAATTAAACTTTCACAAAAGATAAATATTAAATAAAATTTGCAATTCTTATTCAAATAATCCCAATTTAATATATATCAACCACCATATCAAGGCCTAAATTTCTAGCATGCCACAATTTAATTCTAAGTTGCCTAGCATCATGAGAATTAAATCTTAAACAAAGAAAATAATTAAATTAAATTCTATAACTTGAACAAGGCATGCTCACAAGTTGTGTATGCTCATATAACAATCAATACAATATTAATATAACCCTAAAACATCCCCTACCTCAATTTGAGATGAAAATCTCAAAAGCCACCTAAACGAAACGGCTCCGAATCCGACAATACTTTGGGGTTTTGTCGAGGACAACGCCATGAACAAG